CCTGCTGGGGAAGAGTTTTCAGGGGGAATTTTATAAGCCAAGGAATCAAACTGTGCATGTTACCGCACAATTAACTCTCATTTGTCATACAGCCCTGTGCCTAGAGCAGATCAGCACAGCCAGGAAGAGTGAAGCCACAGCTTGTTCAACATTGGCAAAAGCACCTCATTCCCACCAGCCCCCAAATGCCACCACTCCAAACTATTAGCTTACATTACGCACGGTGGAAACAGCATGTCTGAAAGGGAAGGTACTCCAGAGACCATGAATATTTTTACTATCTTCAACCTACATTCATAGCACATCGATTTCCAAGGCAAGTTCATGATTTCCTCCTGATGCTCAGCTCAGGTCTACACCCTCATGGCCAACTGTCAGTGATGGCTCTGCCCCAAACAGAGACACCATGAAAGAGCCAGCGGCTGCAGAGCCTCAGCTCCTGTATCACACAGGCCAGAGAACCTCATCCAAACATTTATCTGAGGTCAGCTTCCAGCTCGAACAAGCAGCACGTGGAATTGTCCTGCAAAGATATCCCCACGAGTCACCAGCCAACAGAGAGGGAACGCTGTCTGTCTCTGCATACATGTTTCTCTTCATTTATTTTTTTTAAGCCTATTGCAGGGAGACTTGCCAGGTGGAAGACAGCAACCGTTGCTCCAGGTAGAATACATAAGGACACGGACATTATTCCTTCAGGGAAGGGAGACCTGGAAAACAAAGGTTGGAAGAAGTCCAGCTTGAATTGTGCAAGGACAACTGGCGACAGTTGGCCTGGCTTTCAACTTTAATTAAAAAGCCAAGTTCACTTTGAAAATGTGACAACTGTTTCCTGCACCACGCACAAAAGACAGGACCACCGGATAATCATCATATTCCGTTTATTCTGTATACATTCGTAGTGCACATTAATGTAAGACATGAGCACTCCTCAGGTCACATAGCACTGCTGTTGTTCTTCACCTCTAAGGTTACACCCGGATGAGATATAAAGAGGGACTGAATGGATATCCATAGAAATAACCTGAAGAAGCAATTACACAGCAAGATCAATCCCTCTGGTCAGAGCAACTGAATCCCCGGTGGCCAGAGCCCCGAAGCACCTTTGTTTTTCTGTCATATCAGAAATGTTCAGTATCAAAGACACCAGTACAAGTAACAACAAGGAGAATCGCATGGGAGGAGAGCTTGAGATAACACAGATGCATCTGGGCCTTTCAACTGTAAAATCACATTCACTTATGGAAGAAAAACTAATTAGATCCCTTCTTTACAATTAGCCGTTTCCATACCCTGGCTTGTAATTGCCAACTTCAAAGCTCTCAGGATTTCCAGTAATGTATTCACCTTTGGTCCTGTTCGGTAACAGGAATCTAAACCTGTTCTGCTACCTGTGCGTGGCATTTCAAGACGAGCCAAGTTTATGGGAAACACAAACTTCCCAGAAAGACTGATAGCAGCCCTCCCAGAAGCTGAATTTAGGCAACGCGTTCATTAACGATCAT